AGCCCGACGCTGAAGTGGTTTCGTCGGGGGAGCCTGGCGCTATAGGAACGCCGGCCGTGTTTTGGCTGATCTCGGAAGAGCCAGGAAAGCGGGCGGGCCGTGTGCCCCGCCCCTTGCGATCATTTTTTCTTCCCCCGTGGTCCTGGTCGCGCACCAAAACGAAACAGAGGTGCAATGTCAGCGAGGGTGAGCGAGAGCGCGCAACAGGGGCAAACCTCCCGTACCAGTGGGCGTCGACTTGACGCGCCCCATAATGATGAGCGTCCACTTGGCGCGGACCAACCAATGAGTGTCGAACCGGCGCGAACCGTGAACCAAATGAGCGTCGAGTCGTCGCGCCCGCGCTGCCCAGTGACCCGCTGAATGTGCAAATTGCGCTGCAGGAGCACATCTGGTAAGAGCAGATAGCTCTCAAGGAGCACGGGAGAGATGCGCTCCAGGCCCCCCGCGACGCATCCATAGAATGCACGAGGGCCAGCCATGAGCGCGGCGACCAGCAAGCGCGGGCCGTTGAAGAAGAAGAAGCCCAGCTGATGGCCCAAGTGGCCAGTCGACCACAAGCAGTCCGCCCAGCTATCGGCTCTGAAGCTCGGGCTTCCGTCGAAGCCTGTGTGGCCCAGGGCGCCAGGGATCAGGATGAGGAGCAGCAGCGGAGACAGAACAGCAATGCCTACTTCTATTAACAGCTCACGGTGCTGGGCCAACGGTTCAATAAGGTTGACGCCGAGCAGGAGAGCAATCAGCCCTGGATTACACAGCGCGATGGCATGGTGCATAAACCCCAGACAAACGTCGGAGCCCTGCGAGCGCATCAGTTTGCTAGGAGCAACGAACTGGAGCAGCTTACAAGTCAGATTGTAGAAATTGCAGCGGCCATGATTGGTGTAAGGACGTGGCGCGCTGCCTTCCAATAGCAGGTCAATAACACGGATTTCCAAGCCTCTACAAATAACGACGTAATCTCCATGCACGAAACGGCGTCGCTGGACCTGCAGTAACAGGTCAGAGGCACGCGCGAAAGTTCTGAGGCGCGCGAACGTAGAACTGTCGATTATAACAGCCAGCTCCAGAGCCACACTAGGATGAACGCCACGAACCTGGACAGAAATAGAACTTGAGCGGGCGCTGAGTTTGCCTGGTTGGATAAATTGACCGATGCGATCAACAAGAGAGTGGGCGATTGCCGAGATAAGCAGGAGAGACGTTGTTGCTGCGATCTCTGCTAGACATGTACCACGAGTTACGAGGCACGTGGGCCCAGTAATGAGGATGTCGCAGCCTGTGTCCATGTGGCCGCGGCCGCGCGAACTTGCGGAGTGGGCGGGTGCTGAGGCCAGATCGCCAATGGCACCGATGCAAAGCGCTTTCGCACCCCCTGCGCGTGAGTCCGCGGCGGGGAAACTTGACGCCGCGCGCGCGGCGCACCTTCGCATAGCGTCGGAGTAATCTGGCGCCAGGCTCGGTGAAGGCAGCGGGTGCCTAAGACAAAGTCAGCAGAGCTATGGCGATCGCGCCGCGCCCAACCCTGGGGGCCCTGGCCAGCGCGGACGGTGGGCCTGATCTCCTATCCAAGACGACCACCACCTCGGAGATGAGCCTCGCGACACGGGCGGCGGATCATCCAATCGCGGGCGGCAGAACGCCGCGGGAGATGCAGTTCGGGCGTTGCTAAAACAGGGCGCGCGGGGAGACGGTTCCCCGCGAGGATCGATCAAGCTTGCCCCAGGCCATGTCGGTAGGGTGCCGCCGCCGAAGCCGGCTCGCAGTCGCGAGCGGTCGGTTTCCAACGGCTCAGGGCGAGGACGTTCGAGTAGGCCCGCGGCAACGTTTGTCCTGGCGGCCAGTGTTGCCGCCTTGGCGGTCACCGCTGGATATCTCGCGCCGCGCTCTTTCGAGGGGGAACGGAGGGGCGCAGAGCGCTGGGGGGGGGGGGCAGGCGCGCGGGAATTTGTTGCGGGGAAACCTGACGCTAAGCACCCTTCGAAGTTGCTGAACATTCCTGGCAATGCATTTTGGGAGCCAAAGACTCGGCAAGCACGTGGCTTGCGTTGGCGCCCGGCCCAGGATCGAGACCCCGGCGGCCTACGCCAGGGCACTCCCGCGCCCGCCCCTGAGGTGGTGCTGCCCGCGGGGCCCTGGAGCCAACATATCACTGGGGGCACGGATTACTGGCCCGAAGACCTTTCGCAAAAAAGGGCGCGGAGGCCGAGGGGCGGCATTTTTGGCGGCAGGGGCACCTGTTGCCTTGAGGCTGGTTCTGCAAATCCTGGGCCTTTTGGCTTCGTCATTGGATTTCTTCTCTCGGTGCCTCATGTTTCCTGTTGGTCCTCTTTGTCGTCTCATTATGTCGCGTTTCTAGTCATTCTGCTCTTCCACGGTTGGATTCGCCTTGAAAAGCGGTTGTCTCCGCCCTTCGTATGGGGGGGGGCCAGGGGTTCGTCGTTTCTACTTGCAACCTTGACGTGAACATGCTGCTCACGTGCCCGCTGCAGCTATGCAGTTGCCGACTTTTGCGAAAGTCGCATCCGTGCGCGCAAGCTGCTCCCCACTTGCCCGGCCTACACGGAGCACGAGGGAGAACCCTCGATTGGGGCCGCGCGGTCGCCCCGCCTTTGGGCGGCGCGCCTCCGCCTTCGAAAATTACGCCCGTCTTCGTTTTTGGGTCCTGGGCGTTCTTCCCTCTTCGCTTTTCTGGGGCGGGGCCCCAGGGTTTACTTGACCTCGGAGCCCCCGGCTGGGATTTCTTAGGCGGGGGGTGTTGTCCTGCCCTCGTTATTGGCGGATGTTTGTTTTTGGCGGTGTCCCCGTCTGGGGCTCGGGGGGTCGAGGCATCGTCTGGCCCCCCCTCGCATCCAGCCATCCTTTCCCCCTCCTGCGTGTGCTGCGGCCGGGAACGCGGCGCCGCAGGACGACAGGCTAGAAGGGGCTGTGGCCCCAGCGTCGTAGTCGCCGCTGTCGTCGCCGAACGGAAGAGCAAACGGTGCTCATGTTCTGTTTTGCTTCTCGGGGCGTTCTCGCGAGTCGCGGCAGGGCGCGCGGCGCGCACTCGAACCACTGACGGGAGCCTGGCCCGCCTTCACAGGCGAGCCAGGGCCCTCAACCGCCAAGGTTTTCACCACCTGGGAGGTTTGGTTATGTTCCATCCCTGAACATAAGGACAAGGTCGGGGAAATGGTGGATCCGTTTACGGGTGTGCTCCTGTTTGGAACCAGGTCCTACATGGTATTCCACGGAAGAGTGGTTGGGAGCCAGCCCTTTCTTTTTGCAGCCTCGGCCAGCTTTCCGCTGGGTTCTTACAGCCTCTGGTGACCTGGTGTCTCGATTGCGCCCAGCCTGTTTTGACCCCCGCCAATATTTGCAACCTTGGCCACTTCCACTTTCATGGGATCTCCAACTTGCATCTGTTCCAGATTATCTGTGCGTTGTGGGTGTTGGTTGGCAATGGGGAAATTCCTCATCTGATGATGGCGGCGGTGATATCCATGGCCGATTCACAGTTGGCATTCCGCCGGTTTCCAGACCTTGGACTCCTTCTCAGATGGTTCCTTATCCGATGCCCTCGCAGTGCCAATACCGCAACCCCTTTCCTTCGTTGTCGCCCTTTGGGCCTCCTGTCTCGCGGCGCGAGCGCGGGTGGATTGGCGCCAGGGAGGGGGTGGGGGGTGGGGGTTGGGGGGGGGGGGGCTCCCGAGGAGGCGGGGAGGGGGGTCAGAGGGCAGGCGGCGAAACCCTCCGGGTTTCTAATCTGCCATCCCGCCATAGGGGGGGATAAGCATGGGGAGGACCATCGACCCCTAATTGCCCAGTGATCGCCGACAGGGGTCTGACAGCCTCACCCCGCCTGGGACAACGCGGTTTCGTTGTCGGGGGCCTTTCGCCGATCTATCAGCGATGTATCGCCGATTCCACGTCGACGTTTCCCCCTCCTGTGCCATTCCCCCCATCGTCGACGCTCGTCCTTGAAAGCACCCGGGCGTTTCCAAGAGGCCCCTCCTGCCCACTGAGATCGGGGATCTTCTGACCCAGGTCAATCCAGACCCGGGTCAGTCAGGCCTTCGCGACTCTTGCAAACTCCTGCAAAATCCTGCGCCCAAACCCGGGTCAACGCGAAGGATCCTGCAAGATCCTGCAGGATCCTGCACCAAGACCCGGGTCAATGCGACCCTGGCCCTGCAGGATCCTGCAAGATCGGGCGCTCTGGCTGACCCCCGTTTGCACTGACCCCCGTCTCAAGGCTCCCGATGAGAGGGCAGGCCCCCCTCGCCGACCAACACAAAATAACCCCCCGTGCGCGCCCCCGGCCTCTGGGAGGGCCCCTCGGTCGCCACGGCTGGGCTCGCCCCGTGGAGCCCCGACGTCGCGCCCTTGGAGGCGCGCCGCGGAGCCGCCGGCAGCCGGCGTCGCGGACAGGTCGAGACGGAAGCCGTCATCGCTCTCGGCTTCTCGGGGCCCCTTGTCCGGGCCGCGAGCCAGTCCGTAAAATTCAAGCAGTGGCGAAGCGTTCTGGCGTGCCTATAGTCCCACCAAACAATGTTCTAAGAATGTTGCCTGTTCCCACGACATGTTCTTAGAACATTTCTGGCTGGGACTGTCTTGTTTTGCCACATCGGGTTTATGTTCTAAGGAAATTGTTTTTGTTCTTAGAACATTTGTTGGGTCCTAAGAACACTTCGTGGTAGGACTATAGGAATGCTGGGACGGTCGGTCCCTGCTCAAAAAACGATTCGGGAGTCAAAGCCGGTCCCGGGGAAGTGGTCGAGGGGTCGCTGGTTTCGTTGCCGTGCCCTTGTGGAGCCTGCCTTGAGGCAGGCACTGTTGAGGCGGCGAACCGTGTCGGCAAAGCGTCTTGCATTACGAATCGTTCGGCCTTTCGCGCCACGGCGCCGAGCTCCACAAGATCATGCGACGGCGAACGCAAACTTTTCCCGATCTGTTTCGGAGCAGTCGACACGCCGGCTGTCTGGGGAGCAGCGGCGCCGCCCGTCTTCTCGCTCCCCCAGGGCGCGGCCGCGGCGGGCGCGGCTGGATTGGCTGGGCCTGGCCGAGGCGGGCGGCCGCGCGCGTGGGCGCTGCGTGCGGAGCGGGGCCCCGAGGGAACTCAGTATCGTTTCGCCGACCCCTTATGCCCATCACCACGCCATTCCAGACCCCCACCATCTCAGCACCCCAGTTGGGGATCCCCTCGAAACCGAAAGGAATCGGCCCATGTCCCCATCTTGGGGGGTGACAGGGGTGAGAGCACGGCCATGTTCACCTTGGTCTGTTCTTGCTGGGGACCGCGGCCGTCCGGACCAAACATGTCGCCAGCCTTGGGGCGAGAGCACGGCTCCGGAATCAAGTGTGAGAAAGTTTCCAGCGAAACGGCTGCCGGCATGGGGCGGGCACGGGCTTCCCGTCCCTCCTGTGGGACTCTCCCTGTCGTCCTCTTTACTGGCGCTGCTCGAGCCCAGGAGAGTGTTCTTGTATCGCGCGTCAGGCCCCCTTTCCTCCCCCCCCTACGCCATGGTAAGGGATGGGAGGGAGGGGTGGGAAGTCAGAAATGACTCGAGCGCACCTAGCTTGTTCCCCCCCCCCCCCCTCCCCCCTCCCTCCCCCCCCCCCTCCCCAGTGCGTCTGCAGCACCGCCGCAGTGCGTCCAGACCCACGGTGTGGGGGGGGGGGGGCACGTTGCAAGATGCCCCCCCCCTTGCCCTCTGCCCCTCCCCCCAACCGTAACGCCCGTTACCCGTCGGTCGTTGAAAGTAGGTATTCCGGACTCCCAGACCCCAATCTACTTTTGGCGCCTTCTTACTTCAAGGGTCGAGCGGTTTTTCGGGCGGAAGCCCCATCTACATCCAATGCCTTCCCACTTCATGTCTCTTCCCCCTTCTGCCCACCGACGGGTGTCGCTGTGAACTGCGAAACTGCTCCGCAGGACGTGTTTCCTTCGGGTCCCGTCTCGTCCATGCCGCCGCGCAGGTGCGCACCCCCCTTGCCCGGACGTTGGCCTCGGGTGCGTGGCCTTCGGGGTAGGGGCGTGCTGCGTGGGGGGAGCACGCCGCCTGCCACCGGCGCGGCGCATGCAGCGGTCTGCTGGCCGCGGTAGAATTTGGCGAGCACTGGCGCCGCGCCACGTGTTTTATCTGCGAATGCCCCGCCCCCTGGACCAACAAACAAACGACACCACCCCAACTACGGCCCTCCATGTTGCGACACGGCCCATCGGGCGCCGTAGCGTATACCACGCACAAATCCACACCAGATCTCTCGGTATACGCTAAGCCCCGTGGGGCCGTAGGTAGGGTGGTGTCGTCTGTTTTCTGGTCCACCCCCAGTGTTATGATGCTCCGACCTGCTGTAGCTTTGATCCCGGGAAAGAATTTCCAGCAACGGGAAAGTACCAACACTGCAGGGTTGTCACTTGTTGGGCCTTGGGGGGCGATAGTTACTCATTCGACACTTTGCTAGCGCGTCGGGCAGACACTGTTTCGATACTCCAGATTTCACCATAAAAGGGGGGTGGTCTGATTCTTCAGGCTTCCGCCACATCCGCCGACCCCTTGGATTTTCCTCGGGATCGTTCACCACAGCTTCCTTGCAAACCGTGGGAAAATGAGGCTGTTCAGGGCCCGTCACAGCGAGAAGGGGAGCCGACATGGGTCGCAAACTGGCCCAGAGGGCTTCCAGACGGCCCAAGCGAACCCCAAGACGGCACAGGGAGGTTTTTGTTGGGTTGTGTTTGGGGCCTTGCACGGGTGCCGGAGCCAGGGAAGTATGTTACACCCCGGAGACATCTTACGGTTGTCGGCGGTTTCCAAGCGGGATGTCCCGCTAACTGTTAATGTTCGGGGATGTTTGGGCTGACCTTGTTGATGGCAATGACGTCGTTGATGATCACGACACTGATGACGATGATCGGCTCCCTCTCCTCCTCTCCTCCTCCCCCTGCTCCTCCCTCCTGCTCCTCTTCCTGCCTCTCCTCCTCTGCCTTCTCCTGGGGGAAGAGTTTGGGGAGGGGGAACATCTCACACGCCGATGAACGTCTTGGGGCCCTCGAGGGCAATGTACGGACCCTCTTGGAGGCGTCTTGGACCGTCTGGGAGCGGGTTTGGGGGGCTCTGGGGCCGTGCAGGAGCGGGGGTCACCCCCAAAGGCGCACGTGTGAAAAATATACGTTTTACAAAGGAAGCGAGCGATTTTTTTGCGTCTAGAGGGCCTCTTGGGGGGAATATTGGATGCCTGTGGGGGCGTCTGGGGAGGCCTCGTGAGCCGTCGGGAGGTCGTCGTCGATGTTTCTGATCGCTCTTGGACCGTCTGGGACCATGTGGAGCTTCGGGGAGGCAACTCGGAGCGCTCCTGGAACGCTCTTGGGGCCATTTTCGGAGCCGTGTTGGGCCGTCTTGGACGCCTGTTGGCCCATCTTGGGCCCTCTAGGGGTCTGTGGGGGACCCTCTGCGAGGCTTCTGGGGCCGTCTGGGAGCGGGTTTGGGAGCCTCTTGGGCCGTCGGGGAGCATCGGAAAGATCGAAGCTTAATTTCTAAAAAATGTACATTTCACGAAGGGAATGGCCCAATTTTGGCGTCTAGGGACTCTTGTGGAACGCATCTCGGAGGCCCTCGGGGGAACTCGTGGGGACCTCTTCTGCCGTCGAGGACGCCTCGTGGCCCGTCTTCGGGCAAACTTGGACGTCTTGGAGCGCTCGTGGGGCGTCCCAAACCCATTTCGAGGCCACCAGACGCGTCCCTACACGAATTCCATATGTTTTTCCACGTTTTCCGGGAGCGGATGAGACCTCCGGGGGGTTCCGGCCCGTCCAGCCGGACCCCCCCCCCCTCCAAATGGACCGGACCGGGCTCCCTTTCACCATAAAAGGGGGGTGGTCTGATTTGGGATGGGGTCAGATTTGAGCTGTCTTGGAGGGTTCCAGTGGGTCTGGGCAAAAGCCGCCCTTCACGGCTTGTTTGTGGGGGTCTGGAATTGCCCGTGTGTGAGGGTTGTGACCCCCTCCCTTTTATGGCGAAATTTGGAGTACTTTTCCGGATGCTAGGAATTATTTCTGGGATGTGATCCTTCAATACGATGGGGGTAACATGAAGGGCGTATTCGTCCCACGTTTATTTGTCAATGCCCCGCCCCTGGTTCTCAGAGCTGGGTTGCACTTCGACCGCAGTCTTCCCCGCGCGTGCCATTTGAGCGACGCCAAAATGAGGGGGCCGTATGCGTCGGCATTGGCGCGTAAGTTGCGCGCGCAAGGTCGCGCGTATAAGCGCTCTCGTCTCCAACGTAGCGTGCCGCGCTGGCGGCCCACGCAAGCCACTGCGTAATGTCGCCGTGTCATCCCGCGCAAGCTTCTGTTTGATCGCCGCTCAATTTTGACTTTCGGGAAGTGCATATTCAATTCCCAACCATCCTGTGGTGTTGGGTCCTCGTTTTGAAGAGACGGCCCCCGCGTGCCTCCTCTCCTCTCTCCTCTCCTCTCCTCTCCTCTCCTCTCCTCTCCTCTCCTCTCCTCTCCTCTCCTCTCCTCTCCTCCTCCCCCTCCTCCTCCTCCTCCTCCTCCTCCCCCTCCCCCCCCCTCCCCCTCCCCCCTCCCGTAACCCCCCTCACCGGCACACCCCTCACACGTTTCGTGGCCCCATAGGGAGCTCCACCGAAGGCCCTAGGGGGGGGGGGCGCATGCGGTCCCCCCACCCAGTGCAGCGCTTCGTGGCACCATAGGGAGCTCCACCGAAGGCCCCAGTGCGGTCCTCCCACCCAGCACAGCGTCTAGCGGCCCCGTAGGGAGCTCCACCGAAGGCCCTGGTGTGTGTGTGTGTGTGTCACCCAGTGCAGCGTTTCGTGGCCCCGTAGGGACCTCCACCGAAGGCCCTGGGGAGGGTGCCTGCATGCGGTCCCCCCACTCAGTGCAGCGTTTCGTGGCCCCGTAGGGAGCTCCACCGAAGGCCCTGGGGGGGCGGGGTGGGCGCATGCGGCGCCGCCCACCCAGTGCAGCGTTTCGTGGCCCCATGCGGGGTTCCACCGAAGGCCCCAGTGGGGGTGCCAGCATGCGTCCTCTCACCCAGCACAGCGTTTAGTGGCCCCATAGGGAGCTCCACCGAAGGCCCCAGCGGGGGTGCCCGCATGCGGTCCCCCTTCATCCAGTTCAGCGTTTCGCGGCCCCATAGGGAGCCCCACCGAAGGCCCTAGGGGGGGGGAGGGCGCCTGCGCCCCCCCACCCAGTACAGCGTTTCGTAGCCCGTAGGGAGCTCCACCGAAGGCCCCAGTGGGGGTGCCCGCATGCGTGTCCCCCATCCAGTACAGCGCTTCGTGGCCCCATATGGAGCTCCACCGACGGCCCCAGTGCTACCGCCCGCATGCGTTCCCCCCCGCCCAATGCAGCGTTTCGTGGCCCCATATAGAGCTCCACAGACGGCCCCAGTGCCACCGCCCGCATACGTCCCCCCCCACCCAGTGCATCGCTTCGTGGCCCCATAGGGAGCGCCACCGAAGACGATACTCACAATTGCGGTACACATCACTGCATATGGCTGGGTCCTTCGCCAGAATGATTTTGAAGTTGACTTTTGAATTTTTGATCGTCGCTCAGAGGGGGAGTGTCCATGAGTTGTTTCCCTCTACCGTAGGTCACCCACAGGGGCGCGAAGCTCACCGCGTTTCGCGCGCCGCTGCCTGGCTTCCGGGCAGCCCCTCTCGAGGGCGCGGGAGGGCGCGAAGGTGCTCGCGCGTGGCGCACCGACGGGCGCGGTGCCCGGAGGTAGGCGACCTGGAACGGTCGGCGAGCCCAGCGCGCCAGAGGCCGCTCTTGCCTTCGGGAGGCGAGGCGCTCCGAAAGAGCGCTGCCCCCGGGCAAGAGTGGCCCCGGGCGCGATTCGCCCTCCTCTCTTTCCGACTTTCGCGACGGTGCGGCGATCGCCGACTTGGGCGCCGACTCCGGACGATCCGTCTGGCTTTCGTTTTCGATTCGGCTTCCCGGTCAGGTCCCTCCTCCCTCCTCCTCCTCCTCCTCCTCCTCCTCCTCCTC